GGCCGCGCTGCAGTCCCGGCGCTGGGGACGGGCCTCTCCTCTCTCGGGCCAGCGGAAAGCTGCACCGAAACGGTCCGCGGCGGCTGTCCCCGAGGGAAGAGCGAGGGCTCGGCGGCTGCGAGGGGACGGGGCGGGCCGCGGGGCCGAAGCGGGGCCGCTGGCCTGGGTGCGCTTCCACGGACGGTTGGTGTCAGGCTGGCCGCAAAATGGAAGGGTGACAGAATCTGGCCCGGAAGATGTAGTTTCAGCAGTCTTGATTGAGTCGCTTTCGTTAGGCTGTAACTACACAAGCACTGTTCCGTGGTGTGAACGCGACTGCGTGGTTCCCAGTTGGTGCAGAGGTACTCACCGTTTCATCTTCCTTGTGCAGTTTGTGGCCCCACACCTTGTTACCAACATGATTCAAATTCTCTTCTGAAGACCGAGGTGCAGATTAATCAAGGCTTTCCGGTGGCATTCATCTCTGTAGCATCTGAGCCCATTAGGAACCTTAATTTATTTTAAAGACAGCCTTTTGGGAAAAATAATATCCAGTTATTATGCAGGTTAAATTATTTACAGTTTTGGGGTGGAAAATGGTGGCCCAGAGTAATAAAGGTCGAAAGCATGAATGACCTGAGGCCTGTGCTCCAGTGTGTAGCACTTCACACATCATAGTTTCAAAATACAGCTCCCAAGAATTCCTTTGAAGCAATGGATACTTTCTAAATCTTACCTTAGAGCATCAAGGTAGGCATCTAGATAGTAAGGAGCACAATTAGGATCACCTTGAAAAGTCTGGGCTGTCATCATGTGAGAACTTCTCAGCAGAGACAGAATCTACTTCTCCAGCATACACTTGGACTGAGAACCTCTTGCCTCCTGCAGTCTCCTGCCTCGTTTACCTCTGAAAAAAGGGACCCATGTCCCATAGCTTCTTTCACTGTGTGTGCTGCTCAGTCCTCAGGGAACCTTTGTGATCAGTAAGGTGGAGATCCTCTGGAAAAATGTGTGTACACTGCAGTGCAAGCTGTAATTACATGATTGCAAAGGATCTGAATTAAGGCTGCAAAATGTCAGGAAGTTTCAACAATGGATAAAACTTTTAGCTTTGCTTGGTAATACGTATTCATTTCTGCTCTTTTATTGTGGTTTTGGACCTTTCAGGTCCCTCTGCTTAGGCAAAATAGTTCAAATTCTGTATTATGTCATGATCTGTCCTCCTACAATTAAGTATTTCTTCAGCATAGATATCATGTATCACATAGTAGGTGACTTAAAATCAGTATCATACACGTGATTTATACACAGCTAAGTAGAAAACATTTCAGCTGTGAAGTTTTTAGCTGAAACAAATAAATAGACTACAACTGACCGTTCAAGTACTAAAGGAATTTGCATGGTAGAAGTTAGGAAGCAATCAATTCTATCTAGTTGTTGGCCTTGAGAGATTTTGTGTCACCCATTCAGATGGTGATTAAGTGTTTCTCTTCCCACATTACAGGATTCTAATGCCTTTGTTTTCTGTGTTTCAGTGGTTGAAGGATTAGCTCTGCTGGATTTAGGTGTTTCGCCATATTCTGGAGCTATTTTTCATGAGGTTGGTATACATGCTTCATTTTAAATGTGATGTTTAAGTGGCATGTTTCTTTGTCTTACTGTTTGTCTTATTGGCAAAGGCTGGGGACCTGTATTGTCCGAGAGACTTCAGAGAACTTGCAGTCGTGTAGTTGCCTGTGCAACAGTTGTATATGCAGCGACTAGCACAACGAGCAGATACAGTTCATCACAGAATAACTTGTTGCTGTGCAGATGATAGACATTGTAATTTTTGTTACTGCATAAGGAGAGTCTGAAATAGGGGAAATCTGTAATAAGTAAAATACTGTTTTTAACATGCTTTTGTTTTATAAGACTCATCTAAACAAGAGGCTAAACAGTGAAACCAGCAAGGTAGTAAATACTTTCAGAAGTATCTGTAAACAACCTGAAAAAAAATATTTTCTAAGGCTGATCTTTATATGGTTTCTATTGTAACTCTCCCACTATAGTAGTAGAATTGAGAAGTTGGAATAGAATAGAATTTTCAAAGTTGATGGGATCTTTTATAAAGTGTATTGAGAACTTTGCAAGGCGAAAGACCAGTAAGTGTGTCTTGATTAATCACTTTACTCTGAAATAACAGCGTTGTAGAAGAGGCTAAGGAAAATGAGCTTTTGTAGTTTCTCATAGTACTACTTCATTTTTCTCATCGAATTGCCAGTTGTTTATCTGGACAGTGTTTGACATGGGTTTTGCTTCTGCTCTCTTTTAGACCCCACTGATAATATATCTCTTTCACTTCCTGATTGAATACGCAGAATTTGTGTTCATGGTAAGCACTCCTGGAAAGCTCCTCTTGAAAGGTCCCATTCTGTGAAATGCTGAGTATGACTTTCCTTTTACTCCTGCAAGAATCAGGGATCTTCATCCTCCTTGTAGTTCAGATTCCTGCTGAGCTCACAGTTTAATTAGAAACACAGCTTTGACTGTGCAAACCCACATTGTACATATTCCCTTTTTTTGAGTTCTTGGCTAGATAAGTATCCCCACAGAAGGATGGGAAGTTGGCATTTGCTTTCAAATTTCAAAGGTTACCTCTTACAGATCAGGATATTTTGTCCTCCCAGCCTAATCCCAACATTGCCAAACCCCAGGCCTGCAAAGAGAGCAAAAACGGGTTAGTCCTCCAGATGTCTCTTGCAAACTATTATCTGAATTCTGCATAATTCAGAGGGATGGAAATCATTCAGCTGGCTGCACATGCCACCTGGTGGAGCCTCCCTCCCCAGATCCCTGCTGGGCCGGTCTCCCCCTGCGTCGCTTGTGCTAGTTGTGCAGATGACTGTACTGCTGCCTGGTACGTTTGGGACAGCTTAAGGCAACATCATGCTGGATTAATGGCCAGGTGGGCTTAGCCAGCTGGGCACTGCCCCAGTGTTGCCTATGCTTGCATTAGACCACTGATTCTATTACCCTCACGTACTTCTTTCCATTAAAAAATTTCTTTCCCCTTAATTCCCCATTCTCTTGCTTTGTAAATATTAATATCATTGATACAGCTCATGGCTTCAAGGTTAAGTGGTGGTGTGTGAGCACAGTGTACAAATCGGCAATCTAGTGTTTTTAAAGCTTGTTTTTTCTCTTGTGAGCCAAGTCAGATCAGAATCCTTATTCAGCATTTCAGTGCTGTCCAATATCTTTCTCTCCATTTGTTTATTTTACTTACAGTCAGTCTGTCTGTGCCTTGTTTTTTTAGATAACTGATGTGCTAACTGCTGTTGCCCTTTACTTGGCCATCCAGGACTTCAACAAAGTTGTGGTAAGCTGGCTTGTTAGTGTTGCTGTCCTCTTCTCCCAGGAACTATATCTTGTACCAAAGACAAACACATGCCAGAGGGTGCAGTATCAACCAGTCCTTGTTGCAGCAAATTTTATCATATCTGGATGATCAATAAACATGGGCACTTAACGTGGTAAATGACTGAAGTATTTTAAGTTTTGTTGTAGCTGTATTAGAGAATGAAATTAGTGTCTGTAGCTACCACACTGCACTTGAACAATGATCACAGCAGTAGATACATTGATCTAAAAGGAGTATAGAGAATTTAAGATACTTGTGAGAATGCAATAGCCAGTGAAATGCAGGCAAGTCTAGGGTCACATACTCAAGAGGAGATGTGAGATTTTGGAACGTGTACTGAAAACCCACCTTCAGTTGTGGCAGTTGTCAGCAGGCAGAATTTAATTACTGGACTATGGATTTGGCAAGACTTGAGCATGCTTTGCTCACCTCTGCTCCTGCTGCAATCTTCTGTACATTTTGTAGCTAGAGCCTGGAATGTTTTAGCTTGAACAGCGTTTGTGTTTGCACACAGCATGAGTTAATACACAGATTGGAAATGTATAAAGGAAGGAATAAAACCTTTGAAGGATGCTGAGGTGACATTCTGGTGATCAGGGTGAAAGTCTGACAGCAGATATTACTTGTTCCTTTCAAATTATAAGTACATGTATTTGGAGGTGAGTGATTCTTCCCAGCTCTCTCTTATCAGTAGCTCAGAGAACTGCAGATGTGTAAAAACCTGCATGTGAGTTACTTTGCTCGTTGAGAATTTATTACCAGGATCTCTCACCTTCTGTCTCATCATGACATAATTCAGTAGGTTAATAATTCAGATTTCTCTTTTGTTTCCATAGAGAGCATCATAGAATAAGATAGATTAAAGAGAGAGATTTTGAGTCCCTAAAGGAGATTTGGCATAGAGGTATTCCATCTTCAGAATAACAAAGACTGCATACTTCTGTGACTTGGTTTCTCAGGGGCTTGTACGTTGAACAATGAATTTATAAAGTCAGCTAAAGCCAGACAGGCTTTAGGAAGATTGGACGTATAAAACTCTAGTGTGGTGAATTCACATTAGCTGTCAATTCACATTAGCTGTGTCAAGAGCTAAACACTGGGAATTAAGGGAAGTTCAAATAAGTAGAGATTATCTGCTTTCTTCTGACTTCCAGTTCAGTCGTTAAGTTCTTAGGAAAAGAGAGTGGGCGTTTTCTGTTGTTTGTACAACACCTCACATAACATGAGTTTTGCCTCATGTCTGGGGTTCATATATGTCTTACAGTAATGGAAATCCTGAGTAATAAGAAATAATGACTTTCCTCATCTGACAGTCTTTGGTCATTCTCCCTTGTTCAGTTCAAAAAGCAAAAGTTCCTAATAGAACTGGATAAGTATGCACCAGATGTGGCTGAACTCATCCAGACACCCATGGAAATGCACTACATCCCCCTCAAGGTAGCACTATTGTAAGTATTGCTTCTTGTAGGCTGCAGTATGCTGCTTTTGTTCTTCAGCTACCTCTGGGTTTCGTTTGTCTGATTTGGGGCTTCAACATTTGTGGAAGGTTATGGGTTTTTTTCCCTCCCCAAAATTCTGAATTTCCTGTTACACATAAAAATCCCCCTAGCCCTGAATACTCATTTTGAAAGTGAAAACCAGATGCTTTTCCAGATGTTTGTTGCCAACAAGTAAATTCACTCAGGCTCTCTAAGACAGGCTCAACAGCATAAGGTATTATTCATTAATTTGGTAGCAAGAATGTTGTATCTGCACAGCTCACATTCTCATTTATTTGCCTGTATGCTAATGTTAACAAAATTGATTCTATGCCTCCCAAAAGTCTCAGGTGTCTTTTCAGAAAAGTTAGGAGGATTTTTGAGCAGTTGGACAAAATGTTTGCTGAATATCACAACTTGAATATCCCAGCATTGCTTATAACAATTCAAAGATAATTTCAGGTTGTCATCTTAATAATGTCATATCTTGGTGTTCCTCTGTATACTAAACATTTTTTTTTATTTTAGCAAACTTCAACTAAAATAAATAGTATGCAAGCAAGGTACTTAATTTCAAAGATTTTTTTTTATTGAGATTTTTTTCTTTGACATACATTATTATCTTAATTATTCTGTGTCAGAGAGAGATTAGTTGTTATTTGTTCTTATTTTCTTATGAATTTTGTAAAATGGTAAATTCCTCAGGGCAAGAAAGGTAGAGTTGTTAAATTGCAGACTGTTTTGTATTTAACATTGTTGCCCATTACCACAGGAAAGTTGGCTTAAATTGTATCTATCCTGCTGTAGGCTGTCTCTCTGGAAACACAGAAAAAGGCCGACTGGGACTCAAAGAAGTAGGAAAAATGTGAAGAGATAACTAGGAAATCATCAACCCTGTCTACTCACTCTGATAATTGATATAGTTATTAGCAAAGTTGATTGATACATTATCTTGGTTACTGTATTGGTAATCCTTCCAAATGTTTTTCTGTCCTTTGAATTTAATTAAATGAGATTATTATAATTCTCCTGGCATCCTTAGTAACAAAGTGTGGCTGTATTCCGGAAGGTAAAATTATTCAGAGTTTGCTGTCTTTCCACAATTCCAATTAAAATATGCAAGATTTTCATAACTGGAAGGTTTTGTGCTTAGATCATGCCATGGTGAACATAAATGATTTCTCTGCCATAGCAGGAGTGTGCAGGTGCAGTTGGGTTGGGGGAAACTCTGCTAATGTCTCAGGATTTGTTTCCGTCTTGCTGTCTTCTTGATTTTATTACTTCTTCAGAGCCAGTAGATGCAAGTAGCAGAAAGAGTTTACTTTGGACTCAATAATCCTAAGTCTGACTGAATAAATGCACAGTGTTTCTGCAAAGCAAAAAACTGTTTTGGTAGTAATTTTCTAGGATAGAACTTTCATTTTAGACATCTTCCAAACTGTCTCCTTTTCTCCCATGTGCTCCCTGTGGGCACAGTGTCCCAGGCTACAATTCAAAGATCTGGTTTTTGCTCCAGACTGAGAACTGAGTTAATTTGATCATGAGAGGATCCCATCAAGTGTAAATAAACAAAAAGAAATGAGAAAGTGCAGCTGTTTTTTCCTTTGGACATCTCTTTAATTAGATGCTCTGTCTTTCCTATGTAACTTGAGCTTTTCTTTTTTTCAGCTATCTGTTAAACCCATACACTGTGATGTCTTGTGTGGCAAAGTCCACCTGCGCCATCAACAATACTGTCATTGCGTTCTTCATTTTGGCTACAATAAAAGGTAATGAATGAAGAAAAAATGGTACTTTATGAATTTATAGAAAGACTAGAAAAGTGGCAGAAATTAAATCAAGGTGGAACTTATATGATTGCTACAAAGATCTCTGTGAAACACAGCAGAAATGGGACTGGAACAAAGTTCTACCTGAAATCATGAGATCAAGAGACTTTATAGTCAAATCAAAACTTACTTTCACCTCAGTGTACCTAGAAATTTTATATCTAAAAATTGACTCCATTTCCTGGATGACTTAAAATAGTTTTCTGTTTATGAAAATGCATGTCTGTGTGTAGGAGGATATTACGCTCTGCTGCTCTTTTTTGTACATAAATATGCACTTAAAGTGTTGTAGGCAATTTATTTTCAAAGTGTGTCTTTGAACTTTTATTCAAAAGCAAGCAATTGCCTGCAGCTACTATTTGGATTTCATTCACAGTTTTAAGTTTGGTTTGAAATTGGCTAATTGAGCTTTGGGGAAGCAGAAACAGTAACTAAAGACTCATACTGGCACAGTTGATTATGACAGAATAGCTGTTTCATTCATTTTGTGCATAATACCAGGTTTCTGTTTCTTTTATGACTCCCCAGTACTAAAGTCTCTTAGCATATGTGATTTGTACTAGTCACATAAGTTTTAGGAGTTCTCTGCTGCATCAGGGGAAAGGTCAGTCTCCAGCGGTGCCCAGACCCAGACATCACAAAGAAAGCTGATATAGGTTGGTTTTGTTAGTGTTTCCAGAGAAAAGTTTTCCTCCAGTTACCAATTAATTGAGGCAGGAGGGATTTTGGTTTAAAAGCAAAAATGTGGGATTCATTTAGTTAAACTGTCCAGTCATAGGCAAAACTGTAGTGACTGTCCCCTGTGTTTTCTCCCTCATTGGGAGTGTGGCAGCCTCTAGTTTTAAAGTGGGCAAAGAATGGATATCAGATTATGACTGATTTCTGGGTACCAATTGTTTAGATCTGTGCAGAACAGAACACTTGATAAAATAGAGGATAGGGAGGTTTCTGTCTAGGAGAGTGTAGTTGAAGAATGGAGAAGGTTCATCACCAGGTAATCCTATATTTTCCCCTTTCAGAAGGTGAAAGCAAAAGTTTACTGAGTGGTGTCAGTAGGCTGACAGTGCGATGCACTGAGTCAGGATTCTTGCTGTCTGAGCTGTGTTTTTATAGATGACTTCCATCAAGCAACATAAAACAAAGCTGTAACGAGGCTACTTACTGCACTAGGTGCATGTATTTTTATTATTTAACCTGGGACCTCTTGGACTTGATTTCTGATGTTGGTAGTTGGGCAATGTCAGTAGTCAGCACTTAGCTTAACCTGAGACACCTCAGATAAATGCCTTCTTCAGTAAAGGCATTTGTATTTTTAAGACCACTTGAAAAAACTGTGCTAATCCTTTCTATGCCTCAGTTTTGGTATCTGTAATGTAGCACTAATGCTACTTCATTCCTTTAGCTGCTCTCTTTGACAGAGCTTTGCTGAGGACCCTGACACATTCTGGTGATGAGGTTATCCAGCATGCTCAGTGTAACAGTTGTTTCATGTGGATATGACTTCAGTGAATGCATTCCCATGCATAAACAGCAGTTTGTACATAGACTGAATTACACCAGTCTCTCTGTATGTGAGTGGTAGGAGATATAAACCAGTCAGTGGTTATTGGTTCTTTCTTGTGAGAGAATCACCTTGGTATGAGTTATTCTCTATTCAAAATGTAGTTAAGAAAAACTCCAGGACACATTCTGCTAAAAACACCTTTAAGTGGTGTTTGGATAGTTGTAAAGCCCTGCAGAGGGTTACGCATTTTTTCCCATTTGGACTTCCTGTCTGTAAGAATGTTTATATTAAATGTTCCTTACAAATGAACTTTTTTCTTTTTGCAGGTAGTGCCTTCCTCAGTGCTGTGTTCCTGGCCTTAGCAACATACCAGTCACTCTACCCTCTCACATTGTTTGCTCCAGCACTCCTTTACCTTTTACAGGTATATGATTTCTAACTGTTGGTACCTGTCATCTTGTAGCTGTGCAGAGACAGTCATTAGCTACTGAGAGGGTAGTTGGGCAAGTCCTGAGTTTCAGAAAAAGTGACTCTCCTCAAGCCATGGAAAGTTTGAAGCCTTAATGGGGATGCCTGTGCATAGAGAGAAGGGAGAGAAAGTCATCTACAGAACTGGCTGATGTTTAGGTTGCCTGAAGTAAGTGCTTTTCTTTGTGTTGTGTGAATAGCAGTGAGGATTTTAGACATGGAGAATTTCCTTTGCACTGACATGGATCAGTGAGCTGTGTTTGAATGAGGAGCTTTATGTCTGAACCACTCAAACTTGGGAAAGCTGATTTGGAGTTTAATGGCAAAAGACATGTGCTTGTGAAAGTGGCTGGTTGTCCTTGGCCTTCTTCCCTCCACATTAACAATACCCCTGAATGCCAGCATGGCTGACCTTGATCGTTCATGGGTACACAGTGCCTCAACAGGCAGACACTGCTCTGGGCAGAACTAGACCAGCAGTAGGCTGGTAGGCACAGCTGCAGGCAGGGGTAGCGTTTAAAGCTGAGGCAGCTCTTTGACAGTGTGTGGATTCATCCCTGGTTTGACTGCACACTTCCCACTGGTCCCTCTCTTGGCTCTTGTGCTGATGTAAACAGTGTAAGTAAACACTGTAAACAGTGACTTAACTGAAGAGTCCAAATTATAATATGCTTAATGAAAACTGATCATTTGCTAGTCTTATTCTGATAGGGGAGCAAGGTGAGGCAGTGACCACTAAGCTGAAGACTCTTACCCCAATTCACTTGGTGATCGTTTTCATTATTTTGCAATTCTGAAAGTCCTGCTATTGGGTGTTGCATTAGTCTTTCTTGGTTGCTTCTATCCTGTCTCCCTCATGATTTTTATAGCTAATCTTTGTCTATTCTCAAATCTCTGAGCTTCAAAAGAGAACAGAGAGTAATTCTAGTCAATTTTCTTTCCCTGACTATCTGACATGAATATCTTTTTTTTTTTTTCCCTCAGAAATGTTGGTGGTATTATTACTCTTTGCAAGACAAGAACTTCTGCAGATTTGGTGTTGCTTTTTCAATTTTATAATTTTTAGGAGCATTTACTTCACATACTTTATAGTTTGGTCTCCTTTGTTCTCTTTTAACTTTAGTCAAGGTAAAGTGGCAGTCAAGTACAAGCATTATATCCACAGGCAACAAGTGCTTTGATATGTGAATGCCTAATTTGCAACTTATAGGGGAGATTGTGCTAGTGTGTGTTCTTTTATCCAGATTTGTAAATTAACTTTTCTGCATTCTTTGTGTAGAATTAAAGAACTTTTCTCCAGCAGTTTCCAATCTGTCCTGCCAAAAATCCTTGGTAAACTTCCTTACATTGTTCCAGCAAGTAGCATTAAACACACTATGAGAAAACAGAGCATGCTTTACGCAGACAGAGCCCTCATCAGTTAGAGCTGGCTCTCTGTACATCTGCCTGTGTAAACCCTAGCACCAAATGGAAAGGCTACATCACTGACTGGGAGCTGCAGAACTCTGAGCAATTCCCAAAGGTGTTTAGCCCTGTTTGTATATTTGTCTTTACAAATGCAGTCAGGGGATCTCTTGGAGTGAGATACCCATATATCGTGTTATGTGAGCAGGGCTTGTGGCTGACCTGTCAGGACATGTGGCAGTGGCAGGACAGCAGCAGTTGTCTTTGAGGAGACAGCCTTTTAGAGGAGCTCCTTTGTGCTTAGGAAGCCACTGGATGTCCCCTTTCCCTGATTTCAGCAGAGCATGAGTGCCAGGCAGTGTGGTGGAGACCTGGCATCACAGAGTGGCGGGTCATGGAGCAGGGCTCCGGGTCACTCAGTGATGTGGGTGCACGCAGCAGTACAGTAGTGCAGACATCTAAGATACAAGTGCAGCTGTGAGGATGTGTGTGTAAATCTTACACTGATTACATGAGATGACTCACTGCAAGCAGAAATGACCAGCTTAGCTACTGTAGTTCTGGAAATATGTGCAATGTTATTATTTAATTGGCCAGAGTGAAGAACATCAAGCAAATCATGCTTGAGAGCTGCTATTTTCAGTGCCATAGCGACAGTGTTTGCTGTCTTTCATCAATTTAAAATTATGTTCTGAACACTTAAGACTTTATTGGGACTTTCCAACTGATGAGGAATATCTGCCTTCTTGTATTTCATTTTCAGCGTGAATTCATACCAATAAAACTGAAAAGTAAAAGCTTCTGGCTCTACACCATGCAGTATACAGCCCTGTACCTGTGCAGCCTGGTGGTCATCATCTGCCTCTCCTTCTTCCTCCTCAATTCCTGGGATTTTATCCCATCTGTTTACGGGTTTATGTAAGTATAAGGATTTTTACTGTTTTTTTCTGTCTAGCCCTACCATGTTGTTTCTTGTGCATCACACACAAGTGCCCCACTCCCTGTCCTAAGAAGCATGTGATCTGTAATTTTACTGGCAATGCAAGAAAAGAAATAGTGTGTGAAGGAGAGCAGTCATTATCCAACTTCTTTTAATTAAGTAACAGCAAGAATTAGAGAAGGCAGGAAATGTTTTCCACTGAGTTGATTGGAAATGGATTTGATTGTTGTTACCATGGCTGTGAAATTTTCATCTCTGGATAAATGTCTGCTTGGGAACAGTTTAAATCCTTCAGGGGCATAGGATGAGTCAATTTTCTCTTGAGGTTTTCACCCCTTTGGTTTCTCTTCTACAGATTTAAAATATAGATCCTCCATCCAGTAACACACAATGGTTGATTAACGTAACAGAAGAAGGCAGTGAAAAACAACCGTTTAAAAAAGTTACCTTAACTTTTCTTTTCAAATTTCAGCCTTTCTGTTCCAGATCTGACACCCAATATTGGCCTTTTCTGGTACTTCTTTGCAGAGATGTTCGAACACTTTAGTCTTTTCTTCATATGCGTATTTCAAATCAATGTGTTCTTCTACACCATTCCCTTGGCAATAAAGCTAAAGTAAGTATGTTTCTCTGCTAGTGTTTTTACTCTCAGTTGTCTGGTGGAAGCTTGTAAGGCTGGTGTCAGATGCCTGGATCTATAAGCCTGAAAAAGACAGGTTTTTCAACAGGGCCTATCCTCCTCATTTCCCAAAGTTTCAATCTCTGTTCCTTTTAAGTAGAGTGAGTTGGGCTCTGCTATGCAAAAGATGTGTTACAGGCATCAAAAGAGAGAGCAGGAATTTAGCCTATAGAGGTGCCTGCTACCTGCCAGCATAAGCCAGTGTAGTCAGAAAGCAAGAACTCTTGGCTGGAACTTCAGGTTCTTTATTGTCAGAAAAAAAGTGAAAACTTGGGGACATTCTTAGCAGACTGCACTGATGTTACCCTTCTTTCTTGTGAAAACACCCATTAACAGGCTTGGATTCTCAGTGAGCTTATCCTGATGACTTGGAATGGGTACAGATACCATGACATACCAGAGGGATAACTATGGGCTGCTCCAAATAACCTTCAGAGAGGAGGTGCTGGTGGCTTTTCAGTGAATGACAGAGCCAAGATGACCAACTGTTTAAATGTATGTTGAGTTGAGGCACAAAGTTCCTGTGTGAAGGCAGTGAGCAGATGTGCACCCTCTTACACTGCTGCTCTGCAGAGCAGCTCAGTCTAGCCCACCCAGTGGCTTGTTTGGAGAGAACAGGGGTATGAGAGCCTCTTTGAGCCTATCCTATAGTACATTTGTGTCCTTGCTGATATTTTCCATTCTATGCTTCTGTTTATTTCCAGTTTCCAGAAGCCCTACTGCATCCTCTTATCCTTTGTGTCTTTTCCCTTCTATAGAGAACACCCTGTGTTCTTCATGTTTGTCCAGATCGCAGTCATTTCTATCTTCAAGTCCTATCCCACTGTGGGAGACATTGCGCTGTACATGGCCTTCCTTCCAGTCTGGAGCCACCTTTACAGATGTAAGTTCTTTGTGTTTGATTATTGCTTATCTGGAATGGACAAGGGCCTGTCCAATAATTGTCACCACTAAACTAAACTAGGCCCATGTCCGCAGGCTGTTGTGGCCTCCTTGGGGTGTGTGGAAGGAGGCTTGATTTTTCTGGTGATCTCTAATGTGTCTTTAGGACTAGAGCTGAAATTAGTTGAGGAGGGAAGTTTCACTTGTACTTTCCCCTTCACTCCAAGTTGTTCTGAAGATTAACTTTTTTGTAAGAACCTTTTACAGTCCTGCACAAGGGATGTGGCTTATTTAAAGTACGTTAATTCTTCAAATGCTTCACTCCCATTTAAGGCTGTGTAATTTGAAACACTGCTTCTGCACCTTGTAGTGGTTGGTTGGTTTGCATCTGCTTGTTTGCTTAGAGCAAAAGTAACTGAATTATTCCAAGCAGTTGTCCATTTTTTCTTAAATGCTTCATAAAGAACCTCTTTAGCTCTTTAAATCACCAGAGAGCTTCCTGATGATTTTCAAACTCAGTCTCTAGAACCTGCTACACTGGGGATATTTGGAAGTGCTGTGTTTTTCCTGGTGTTTCTTGCCTAAACCAACTGCATTGACCAACCCTGCCAGGTTGTCTGGGCCTTTTACTGCAGTCTTCTCTGACCCAGGCCAAGTGTGTGGGCAGCTTGCCTGCCTGATGTCAGGAGTCAAGAGATTTGGAGACCTATTAGTTTCTAGGCTATATTAGGCTCTATTAGTTCCAGACTAAAGAAAGCTAAGGCCAAAGCAGCTGTGATGAAATAGGTCAGGAAGCCCCAGGCTAGCTGTGAGCATGTTGCAGCCGTAGCAGGTGACGTACTTCTGAGAAACCCTGCTCCAGCATAGATCAGCTGCACGTTCCAAGCAGTCAGATAAGGGCACTGTCACCAGTGAGGGGGGTAGTCATGTGTCACGTGTTCCCACCCCACGGTGAGTGAACAGAAGTTTAAAAAGATAGCTGTGAGCAGGTTTGGATGTGACCATGCTCTTGAAATGTCAGATAGCTCCCTTTAGCTGCAGAATGAGTGGGACTCTCACTTACCTTCAGGGACACTGGCTGATCTATAGACAAGCACAGCAACACAGGAGCTGGGATGAATTATAATACTGCTGCCAAAGGACAATAGTGCATAAATAGTTCACAGAAAACAAAATCTTTTCTGGCCTCTTTTAGACAAATTTGTGCTTGTTTTTTGTCCATCTGACACATACTCACACAGACTAATGGATTCTGGCCACACTCGTACCTCCCAAGGTCCTGTGTTTGTCAACGCATTTGGCCTATACGAGTTTCTTCTTTTATAGTGCTTTCATTTCCTTACCACCTCCTGAGAAAGTATCTCTTTTCCTATGGCCCACAAGTTCATTATTCTCCTTTGTCATCAGCTTGGTAAGACTAGGGAATGGCATACTCTGCTCTCTGAATCGTGATGCTGATGGAAAGGCCCTTCTCCAAACTGTCAGTTACCGTAAAGCCGAACAAGCCAAAGTCCTCCAAGGAAGAGTGTTTGGAAGCAGGACCTAGAAGGAAAGACCTACACATGAGGATTTGACACTCAAGCAAAAGTAGAACTATTTATTTTAAAGGGAAATATAGTGGATTTCTTCTAAAATAAATTATTAATTATTTCTTACTAAAAAGTTAATTCTTATAAAGAGTTAACTCTGAATTCTTATAATAATTATAATTATTTATTATAAAAATAAATTATTCATTAATTCTTGTAAAATTAAATTATTAAAGCAGGCTGTGAAAGGTTATTGGAGGGAAGTATACATTGGCAAGCACCTCTCCCCCACCCCACATACCCTAAACACCGTTGCTGGTTGCATAAGCATGGCTGCTCAGTAAAGCATCATTTTAACAGCTTGGTTTTCTTTTGCAGTCCTCCGGAACATCTTCATCCTCTCATGTGTGCTTGTTGTCTGCTCCCTCCTGTTCCCCGTTCTGTGGCATCTGTGGATTTATGCAGGAAGTGCCAACTCGAATTTTTATTACGCCATCACGTTGGCTTTCAACATAGGGCAGGTTAGTGGCGTGAGGCAAACTGGGCTGCGCTGTGGGTGGGTCACTGCCTTGGGGGTCCTGTCAGCAGCAGCGAATTCTGCAGGATGTGTCTGGCACTTTGCAGCCTCTGTAGTCCTGTACAGCAGCCTCCTGCCTCTCCTTGCTCCACCTGAAATCTGCCTAGTCGTTACCTTCTGGCACACTAATGGGAAAGAGTTCCTGTAGTGTTTGAGCTGTAGATTAACAGTCCAGCCAGACTGTACTGCAGGGTTAAACAGTCTGTGACTTGATAGCAGAGGAAAAACATCTCGGTATGGCAGGAATAGGAGCACCCGTGAATAGAGAAGGTGAGCTAAAAGGGGAAGTGGAAAAAAACATGAGGCAGCAGCGGTGGGGCCAGACAACAGCCAAATGAGAACTGCCCACACATGGCGTTGTGGCACCAATTTTTCTGAGCATTATACCTCACTGAAACATGGTGTTACGGACACGTGCAGGGTCCCAGTCTTGCCAGGGCTTGCTCTCAAGGCCATTCTAGATACATGACTTCCACTAGCCTTAGGGAGAACAGAGCCTTGCACCCCTGGAGGACTGGATTTGATGTACACAGTTGTTACAGACTTTTCTAAGTCCTTCCTCTTCTCTCTGCTATTATGTGCCTAAGCCCCGGGGCAGTTTCACATGTGGGTGAGCAGAATGTTCATTTCATGTTAAAGTTGCCTTTATTTTGAATGTGCCTCAGCCATTTATGTTTGTCCTCTAAAACTAGAGGAGCAGTTTTGCCAGGGGCTGAAAATCACCTGCTTGTACATCCCCCCACGGCCTTGATAGATGGAGACAAACACCCATTTCTGTACAAGCAGAAAGACTCCATGCAGTGTGGCATGAGGGAGTAGAGATGCACTACTGAGAAAGTCTTAAAGGAAATTGAGAGTGGTTCACTAGCTCTCTAACTACATGTCTTGGTATGGAATGAAAGGAATAGTAAAACTTTAAATAGAGGTGACAGGTGTGGATATTCTAAGAGGATTTTATTTTCTACCTGAGAAAGTCATAGGAGATCCTGCAAGGTCTTGTGCTATGTGTAAACACATGCAAACCAAAAATCTACTTTCTGATTTCTGTGTGAGATGGAACTAGCCGTCATCCTTACTAACCTCAGCTCTTTCTTTTCCCATTAAGACATCTTCAGAGAAGTTCAGTTAAAAGTAAAATCAACCATATTGATACAGCATGTTAGTAGTCAGCCATGGTGTTCAGTAAAACAAGCGAAGAGAATAAGTGTGGATGTTTTCACTCTCCCTGGGCACATCTACCCTTTTGTATCTGTTCTCCTTTGCACTTTGACCTCAGCAGTCTGCATCCCTGTTTCTCTGCCCCTCAGTCTCCATGCAGTCCTCCATATCCTCCCACCTTGCCACTGAACCTTCCCCACAGCAGGTGTATTTAACAGTAACCCAAGCAGGCTCTGGCTGGTGGCCTGACCCCTTCCCTCCATCCCCTTAGCACTGCAGCACTTCAGGTGAGGCAGTGTGCCAGAACTGTGCATTAACGGGTGCCTGGACATTAGCACAGTAACTCTGAGCTTGATCTAGCACTTTCCACTCTGTGATGCTGTTTCTAGACAGAGGAGGTCAGCATTCCTGGGGAAGGGTGGCACTACAAGAGGCTAAATCACAAATGGCACTGCTGAGCCTGCTCTTAGAGCAGCCGGGCCTGCCCCCACAGAGGCAGCTTGCCCAAGGTGACTGCTTTAGAGAAACCACTGAGACCCACTCGAGTCCTTGGTGCTTTTAGTCAGGGGAGCAGTCACACTGTGACACCTCAGTACAACCAAAGTGGGACTGAGGAGGGGAGGGACCTTGTGATTTCCACGTTGGGTTTCCATGTTCACTGCAGTTTTCTGGAAGTCACTTCAGTTGTGATTTCACACTACAACGCGCCAGTGGCAATACCAGCCTAAGGTCTGCTCATCTCCTGAGTGACTTGGGACAGTGCCAGCGTCTCTGTGCATGGCAGTATGCCCTGACCTGCATCAGGGGAGGATGTGGGGGATCACCAGCTCTGTGCACCACTTAAAGGGAGACAGTGTGCAAATGTACACAGAGTGGGCAATGACAGCACAGGGGCAGGAAGGAGATGCAGTAGTGGTGGGGGTGGAAGAAGTGCTTTTACCTGGTGTTGCTCCCAGACATTGTACTCTGAAGCCACAGCCTTGACATTTCAGCTCTTCACTCCTTAGCCTAGTAAGCATAATTTTATTAAACTGGTAAAGGTTCTGTTTGCTAAAGCTGACCTGGGGAGCTGTGGTATTTCTTCTCCTTCTTACCTTTTCTGAGCAGAAATGGCAGTTGAAAAACGATCACAATTGAAAAGTGCTCTATAGCAATCAGCAGCAGGAGACTTTCAGCATCTGGGTTGATCTGCATGATGGTGCTTGCATGGAAGGAATCCTGTGGGTGAGGCTGTGATGCTCTGTAAAGCTGTGGCACAGACGGACCTGCCGTTGTCATGTATTTTGGCCAGTTTATGAAGCCACTGTCTCCTTAGCAGAGATGTCTGTGAGAACACAGTGGTTGTGCAACAAGTAGATTAGTTTCCCTTGGCTTAATACTGCAAGACAGTGGACAAGGAGTGTTCACAGGATCAGTGTCTCCTCTCACAAAGTGTAATGAGCAGCCTAAGAACTTCTTAAACCCCTTCAGCGTCTGTCACAAACACGTGTCTTTAAATTCCTTGTTGTGAAGCATCACTGATGTGTCTGAACATCTCACTTCTGCAGATCCTGCTCATCTCAGATTATTTCTATGCCTTCCTCCGGCGGGAGTACTACCTCACTCATGGACTCCATTTGACAAGGCAGGATGGGACAGAGGCCATGCTTGTTTTGAAATAAGGATTGTGCCCACCATTCCCTGGGACATGGACCACTCTGAGGAACATGCAAAGCTTGGGGTATGTGGGGTGGGTGGGGAAGGCTCCCTGAATAAGGTCTGACTTTGGGAATGATACCTACTGAAAGAAAGGGCTGAGATTCTTCTGGGAATACCCTCCTGAGCTGTGTGCTCAATGCAGAGACTGTAAGAGCTACAAGTAGAGATGCACTGCCTCCGTTGGAGGATCTCCCTTCTTCCCTCAGCTGTGCTTTTCACTGCGACCTCAGCCACCAACTCTGGGCAGTCTAGCAGGAACTGGAGAGAGTCTCTGAGCTAAACCAGGGCTGAATCTCTGGCTCAGAAAGAGCTCAGACCATAAACTACTATCACTGCTTCTTGGAGATATTTGCTTCTCCTGAAAATTTCCCTTCACTGCTTTGACCAGTAATGCTCCTGCCTGGCACAAGGCAATCTCTGGGTACCTGGTGCCTAAACTCTGGCTGCAGGTGACATTTCTTGATTCTACTGTTGTGGGATTTGGAAAAATCACATGTGCTCAGGCGCAGTGGGTGCTTGTGAAACCAGTGGCTGACCAAGGACAAACGACCTGTTGGAAGGAGGACGGCTGGTGCTGCTGCCACAGGTAATAAATGATCTTGGCACTCAAACACTAGTAAGAACTGGAACTGGAGTGAAAGAAGGAGCAGAGTGGTACTGGGTAACCACTGTATCCATTGAAGCAACACAGACACTTCGATGTCAGGAGCTGCACAGCAGCATTACAGGGTCTCAGGAGAAGGAACGCTGCTGTGAAGATCGACTCTTGCTACTCCTCGTTTCGGTAGGGTAGCAAAGCTGGGCAGGGCTTACATGTACCATTGTGATTGCTTGGGACAGCAGCCTGGACCTGGAATGACCAAGCTGCCTGCCTGAGACGGGGATGAGGGTGTCAAAATCTCCCCTTTAAATCCCTGGACCAAATCCAGGAGGATGCTCATCCACCACTGTTCCAAAGTTGTTGGGTTCTGGCTGTTCCACAGCTACTTAACACTAGAGGATGTACACTTCCCCATGTTACCCCCTTGCAAGTAGTGATGGTGTCCTGTGGCTGTGCGCGGGGGGCTCTGCTGGAGCACGGCCCCTTGGTCCCCCCGTGGCTCCCTCTGTGCTCAGACCTGCTCACCCAGGGGCTGCTGCTGCTGCTGACCCCGTGAATGTGACCCACTGGGGCGAACCCACCGTTCTGGCTTCCTGCTCTGCTGGTTGCCTGGTGGCACAAAGAAGTGGTAATTGCAGTGTGAAAGCCCTCCCGCTAGTGTCCGGGCAGCAGGCAGCCAGCTTCCCCACCCATTCCAAGAGAAACCCGAAGGGCTGGGAATGTGACAACATCAAAACCAAACTGCACCTGGAACAGAGCAACTGAGAGACCGATGTGCCCAGGCAGTTGTGTGAACAGCTCTTCTTTCTTTCTGGACAATTAAAACTTTTGCCTTATTGCACTGCTATTAGCGCTTTGGTGGGGGGTTGCTAATCTGAGCCCAGCTCAGGCCCCCACTCTGGCAGCCCTGGGCCTCCAGCCACTGCGGGGGCAAGCAGGCAGGGCTGTTCTGCCTGCTGGCTGTGTGGCATGTCAAGGAGCATAATAAACTGTGCAAGTTTTGAACAACTCGTCTGCTCCAGGTTTGGGAGGGGCAGTGAAGATAGGGGGTGACTAGAGTGAGTGAGACATCTGGGAGGCACCAAGAGGCACATGGAGGGGTTGTGAGGGGACTCTAAAGCAAACACTGGGGTCAGGAGGGAAAACAAGTGGCCCTGGGGCATCCCAAAAGGCGAACAAGACATCTCTGGGGCAGGCTGAAACCCACTCCAGTTTTAGGCAGTGGCAATTCAACCCCACAGCAGTGTGGAAGAAGACTTATTAAGAGGGTGAATAGCTGCTTTCCATTTTACAGGCCCCTCTTCCCACAGTGTAGAAAATAATTCAGCCACCAGGAGGGAGACGATGCTGACAGGGGGTGGCAGGACTGAGCTGGCTCCATCCTCTGTCTCCAGCTGCAGAAATTGCTCCTGTGACTGTGCCCAGGGCCCCACTCTGCCACCCACCATCCAGCTCTCCCAGGGAGCAGGTCCCAAAGTTGGACTCAAAAATTGGTCCTAAGAAGTAACGGTGCAAGCGCTGAGGCATGGAGGAAGAGCAAGGGGTAGAGTTGTGTGTACAGGCATGAACAGGGCCATGGGCAGAGCCAGGGCCAGGGCAGGAGCAGGGATGGGGTGAGGCAGGGACAAGGGGTAGGGGCATGGGCAGAGGCAGGGACAGGAATGGGGAAGGGGCAGTGAAGGGATAAAGAAAGGATCATGGCAGGGTCAAGGGAGAAGGGGCAGGGGCAGTGCCGGGACAGCGCAGTGGCAAGGGCAGGGACAGGCAGTGGATGGCAGGGACAGGGACAGGGACTGTGTAAAGGACACGGATGGAAGCACTGGTGCAGTCTGGAAAGGGCAGGACCAGGGACGGATGTGAGGCAGCAGCAGGAACTGGGCAGGAGCAGGGATGGGGCAAAGGAAGGGATGGTTGCCCTACAGCAGCTCAGGGTGCCCCACCCTGTCTCCTGAGCAAGGGGTGGGTCCCAGGGGAGGCTTCTGGGGGCTCCTGGCCCATCCAGGGCCCTGCCAGTGGCCAAGTGCCAGCCGTGCTGGGTACCAGGATCCCCTACCCTCCCACTGCCATCCTGGGGCCACCGCTGTCATCAAAGCCTGGTGGGGACAGCAGAGCTGGCACCCACCCACGGGGCAGCCAGGGCCAATGGGGCTGCAACAGGCCCTGCCATGGAGGGGAGGAGAAACCCCCGAAATGCCTGCAGTGGGGCCAAGGCCTGGGACAGGTCACTGTGGCTGTTGTGCCACCATGCAGAGCACGTGGAAATGCCTGTATTGGCATAAATAGGAGGTTGTTACGGTTCTGCCCACAGGCTCACGGCAGTGGGAAGGGGACACACTGGAACAGTGCAGCCTCTCCCTGGTTTGCAGGAGCTTCTCTATCAGCGTCTGAGGTGGGGGAAAGGGGGCGGGCCTTGGCCAGGGCTTCTCTCTTCTGCAGCCACCAAATCCCATCTTGGTTTGAGGGAAACTGAGCTTCAGAGGGAAACTGAGCTTCAAACAACCACTCGCTCACACACACACCCCTCCACCCCCACCCCCCCCCC